AGCATTAATAAAAAAATATTTGCTGCATTTAAACATAAATATTAAAAAAAAAAATATTTAAATTTTTTGAAATTGATTAAATCATAATTAAATTAAAGAGCAGAATTAATAATTTCAAAACTGATTTATTCAAATATTAAAAAATTAATAAAACATAAATATTATTAATTAAATACTTTTGTAAAAATACTATAAAACTTTTACTTGACCATTATAGACGTAAGCCCTTCTTTCGCCGCATCGAGAAGCCTTCGCTAGCCAGCCCAATCACTGCTGTTACTAGTTAATAGTACCGAGTACCTTCATATCGCTGATCAGATGCTCTTTTCACCGAAGAAACATCAAAGACCTTTCTAGCCGGAGCACTTTCTTCCATTCGCACGACATAACCAAAATTACATACATACTAATACTCTAAAAAATTATTCTTAGAGACCACTGATAATGAATACTATAAATTTTTTTTTGTAATCAAGGGCAATCTTAGATAGCCCTTGATTATAGCTATTTTGAACACTGCCAAATATCCATCATTAAATAATCTTTGCAAGCTTCTGTTGGTCTAATATTTTTTTTTAAAGACACAATTAGATTGCACTCTGTAATTTATGTATTTTGCAACTGTCGAGATCCTTGAGTCCCATCTTTGAAAGGTGGAACAGGAGTACGTTTAATCCAAATCACTGATCTGTTGAGATTTAAGAACCTTTTGCTTCTGATTCGAATCTGTTTGAATTGTGTTAGGGTTTTTGGATCGACACAAGGCTTTTAAAATAGTTTAGATGCGATTTTTCTAAATACTTTAAACTACTGACATTCCGATCAGTATATTCCGTACATCACTAATTATTTCACTTTTTATATATATTTATTTTATAAGAAAATAGCACTATCTATTTATTGTTTTAATTTTTTATGAAAATTTTAACTTTAAAAATGTGTGGTTAGTTTTAATTTTCTTTCTATAGTTTATAGTATATAATCGACATTATAATTCTCATTTAGTATATAATATGAATTTTATTTAAATATTGTGCAATTCAGAATGTATTGTCTTTGTTAATATAAATTCTGGAGAATATACAATTCTATCATAACTACAATAACGTCACCACGCTTAATGCAATATTTATTATTTCTTGTACATTATATACTTAAATATAAGTAATACATATATATATATATGTTATATAAGTGGCTGATGAAACAAATTTGTACGTAATAAATAACTGTTTAAATTGTCGGTAGATATTTAATTGTGTTAGTTTTATATATAAAAGACTGAGATCTCAAAGATACAGAAACACCTTTTATGTTTGTGTCTGACGCTCTCAGAAACTGAAATGAAACTTTTCGGAAGTACCAGTTTTGATAAACGAAAATTTATGACTGATATTTTTAGGGTCTATTTTTTAAAACACATTAATGATTCGCAAATCTTAACTAATATGTAACTCCATTAAGAACTTTAATATAGAATAATTACAAATTTTTAGGCCTATGCGTAATCCAAGCTAGCCAGCTCAATCTACTTATTTATATATAAAGTGATCTATCGTGTTTTTACCAAAATAATACTTATTTGGTTGAATGCTAATACATCTTCTACGTTTGGAATCTGGACTTTGTTCCTGATACTATAATATATTTTAAAATACGCTTATACCGCATAAATCTGAAATAATATATAATATATGCAGCTCATTCAACATTCTATCATCCTCCACATCCACTGCAAAGGAGAGTTATACCCTAATATATGTGGTCTATTGAATGTATTAGCTGGGCAGCTGTTCGTGGCTTCATATATATAAAGTGACATATGCTTCTGAATAGAGAAATATACTGGTGCAATTCCAAATATTATATGTTTGAATACGTTATTAGTTTTCGTGCGTAACTTGAACCCTTTGGGATAACACCCATATGTTTTGATAGCATTTCGGTTTTATATAGATGAAGATTCAAATTCTTTGAAGCCTATTTACTGTTGACTTGATAAATCTGCGGTATTAAGAAACCCAATTTATAGTTTACAGATTTATACAGTTCATAAACTTATCAAGTGCTTTCTAATTGAGTAAAAATTTGCGCTTTGCTGGTGCTGCTAGAATGATACATGCTTTGGACTTCTACCGTGCAGGTGTTTCTTTAGGTCTAGCGTAATGACATTGTCTCATTTGTTCTATCACAATAGACAATTTTTGCTAAACCAACCTGACAAGTCAATACATTTGGAGAAGTTCCTATATTGCTGGTTGGCAGCTATGTCTGGTTGATAAGAAGAAGGGGCCCAAAAATTTTTAATCATCTATCAGACAAAGTTGACTCATTAGCTAGTGCATAATAATTTGTATTTTATTGCAGTTAATTATAATAAATAATTTATAAAATTAACTGAAATTCAATAATAGAATAAATGTTAATAATTATATCGAATTAAATTTATGATGAATATTTTTGTACATAGCTTGGACCATTTAATTTCAAATTATCATTCTCTTATTAATAATATTAATGATAATGATCAAAAATTTTAACCACGCCATTAATTTTAAATTTTAATTTAAAAAAAAAAAAACATTTTCAAAAATAGTTTCAAGGTGCATAACTAACCAATTCTATTTAATTTCGAAGGTCTATTAATTTTACTAGACATGTTTTGATCATGTATGCATCAATTAATTATATATTCCTTGTTTATTTTGTTAAATGTCAATTAATTGGCTATTTAAGTTACTTCTTCAAAGAATCTAAAAATATTTTATTTGGCAGAATGACAACTTATTTGATATCAACGACGCCTTCTAAATATATCGAGACGAAACTTCGAAAAGTCAGCGTCATACGTCCACAGTCATTGACCAAAAAATTTTCGAATGCATTTTTAAGATCTCTATAATAATTAAATAAAGTTTGAATGTGTTTCTGAAACCATTAAATGAATGTTTTCTTAAGAATTAATATTATATTTAGATATTTTTAAAATATATTTCTTTTATAGAAAATATTAATATTTATTCATATTCACATATAGGAAAAAATAAAAATTATTTTTAATTTTTGGGAATTACTTTTATGGTATTTTTAGATTTATTATTTATGTATTACAATAAATTTAATGTATTTTTATTATTAAATTTATTTTTATATAATAAATTTAATGTTTTTATTTAATTGACAGAACTGCCATATAATAAATTTAGTATATTTTTTTATTATATTTATTTATATCCTGAATTTTTATAAGATTACGAAAGGTTCTTAAGGCGAAGTTATTAGTTTATTCTTATTAGAATTGGCAGGAAGAAATTTGCTCTTGTATAGACAACCTAAATGCCGAGACAGAAATGAATGACATTGGTTTTAAGCTTTTTGAGCTCGGTATTCATTTTGGATTTATTTGACAAAATTCAAATTATTGCGAAATATATGTAGTTTGACAAGGAACCCACAAGGTGGACAACATTGTCAATGAACTTAAACAACGTGGAGGTAGACAGTCCTTTGTTAAACTGATGAAACGTTTAACGCACTGGGACTTATGCCACGCAATAACTGGAACTGGAATTTATTCATAATTACGTTTATATGTAAAAATAAGTAATTAATTTTGACCTACCTTCTACTCAATATAATCAGATTTTCCTAAAAATAGAATCGTTACTATTGCAATATTTGCAGATGATGCTTTAGTTCAGAGTTCAGGCCAAACACTTTATATACCACAAAATTATTTACTGCATATGAAAACCTCTCTCAAATTAACGAATATCAAAAAAAATTGAAAAAAAAACAACATAAAATTCGATGGTAAGCACTTGCTGTTGACTAATATTATTCTATTTAGTTAATTTATTTTAAACAATAAAATTTAACATTATATCTTACTTTATATCTCAACTATAACTCATTTTATTAGAAACAAGTCTAAAAAAGAAAATTATTCGAAAAGTTTGTTTACATATTTTTCGAGCGTATCAAACATCGCTGACATTTGCGTGAGTAGTGCTACCAAGTCAACCTAAACGTCAAAAATTACTTACAATAAATTTTGAACAACTAAATATATAAGAGAATATGAAAATTACTGAGAGCTGTTTATTGCATAAATGATAATTTATTACATTTACGATGGACTTTATATTATATAAAAATAATATATTAATAAATCGATGATCAAAAAAAATATTGGGAAGGATACTCTTTCAAATACTAGTATGAAAATTATTGTTCATATCAGCTTTAAGCAGTATTAAATCATATATAATTCAATTAATTCAGATAAAACTGTTTGAAATCATATATAATTGATATGAATCATATATAATTGATTTGAATCATATATAATTGATTTATATCATTTTTAACTGATTTAAAATATTTTAAATTGATTTAAATTATTTTTAATAGATTTAAATCATTTTAAATCAACTGATTTCATGCATTTCATTCATGGAGACAGTTCACACACATCACGGACATCTGTAAAATTTAGTGCTATGGTGAATTAGCAGAGTTAACTGCTATATCAGGCCCAAATTCGATAAAGAGATATTATAGAAATTAAATAAAAACTAAGTTGTAATGGATTCTTCATAACAAAAATATTTCATAAAAACAATCGAAAATTAAAAATAAATATTTCACATTTTATCTTTTCAGTATTCTTTTACATGCAATATCATACCTAAAATATTTTTGTGTGGTCTTAAATAAAGTAAATATTCTACTTGTCCAATTTTTAGTATCTTTTCGCATAAAAAAAATATGCTTTGAATATATTTATTTGATTTTAAATAAAACAAATATTTCAGATTTCATTCTTCAGTATTCCGTTACTTATAAATCATGGCTAATATATTTACTACTTCATTCTAAATAAAAACCGCCACTGTTTTGTGTCTTCATATACAAAAACAATAAACACAAGCAGCTTTCACCCACACACACACAAACATGAACATTGAACGCAGCTGATAAAAGAAAACCCAATAAACTTAAATTGACAAGACAATTTATTAAAAATATTTTAATGAAATTGCAATTCCATCTCAGCTTTAAATTCTGCTTTTAACAATGAAATTACTAAATGCAATGTTTCACATGATTTCAAAATATTATATTAGAAAACTTAAAAAAAAATTATGTAAACATTTAAGGCATCATGCGAAGTGCGCCATCAAGACGAATGGTTTCTCCATTCATTAAAGGATTTTCATAGATAGCTTGCACAAGATGAGCATATTCAGATGGATCACCCAATCGTTGTGGGAATGGTATAGATTTTGCTAAAAAGCCACGTACTTTGTCAGGCAACGCCTGTAACATTGGTGTGTCGAATAAACCAGGAGCAATGGTGCATATGCGTATGCCCTGCGTGCTAAGATCGCGTGCAATTGGCAAAGTCATACCGACTACAGCTGCTTTAGATGCAGAGTAAGCTGCTTGACCGATTTGACCATCATAAGCAGCAACAGAAGCTGTATTAACAATAACGCCACGTTGACCATCTTTGTTCGGTTCATTGGCACCCATAAGACCCGCAGATAAACGTATCACATTAAATGTACCCACAGTATTAACCGTTATAACACGTGCAAAATCTTCTAATTTATGTGCTGTATTTCTATTAAAATTATAAGTTTTAACAGCAACAGCTGTGCCAGCGCAGTTCACTGCCAAATCCAGACGACCGAATTTATCTTTTGCCGTTTTAAGTGCTTCACTAACATCTTTTTCGGATGTTACATCAACTGGCACAAATACAACATTATCACCAAGTTCCTTAGCCACATCATTACCCTTGGAAGAACCCAAATCAGCGAGTACCACTCGTGCACCTTGACGTGCCAATCGCTCAGCTGTAGCGCGACCTAAACCAGAAGCACCACCGGTTACAAGGGAAACTGCGTTCTAAAATAACAAATAAATGCATATATTTAAATGTAGTAAACAAAATTAATTTGTTTTTATAATGAGAAAGACGATAATTGGTTGTGTAACTCAGATAAGCCGGCTAACAGTGAAAGTGAACTTTGGACTTCTTGGGCGAGTTTATTTATAGCATTTATTTATTTATTTTTGTAGCATAAAAAGGTCTCTAAATTTTATGTAAAATTTTGTAAATATTTACCTTAATCATTTTTGTAATACTAAGTAATTAAAAATGAGTATATCAAAAAATAATTATAAAAATATATTGTATTAAAATAACTGAAGCCAATTAACACCAGTTGCACTCTGCCACAACAAAGAGAAAACTGAGCTATTGAATGTCGCTGGAAACAGCAGACAGGTATGGTTCGAAAGTTTGTCATTATTTTTAAATAGTTGTAAACTAAATCATTAATTTTATCCGTTATTGTTATACATAACATTTTAAATATTAATTTGAAATATTTGTAATAGAAATAAAAACGATTTTCAAAAAGAGTTACGAAAGCTTTATTTTTTATGCAAAATAGTTGACTAGATAACGCACTTTCATTGAAAGTGGCCTTTTAGCTATTTTTCATTAGTTTTATTATGGATTATTATTGAATTAATTAATTAAAATATTTCTTTGATAAAAACCGTGTTTCAATTTCAATTCATAAACATACTCTAAAAAATCTTTAAATGTCATTACTTTGTGTTAGTGCCGAGGCACAAAGTCGCCGCCCCTCATGCCGAAATTTGAACCGACATATTATTTTTTCTCTCAATCTCAATTTTATAATTTACATTGAAAACACGAACAATTTTACTCATGCTGTGCCCGAGATACTGTACATAACCCTATACAGAAGAATACAGAAGGTTTAGTATTTATGCAACAAATATATCTAAACCAAAATTGGAAACAAATGAGGGGAGGAAGGAAGGCTGTTATAAAGTAATTATTGAGTAAGAGTAAATTTTGTGCAGTTACAATAAACCATGTTTGTAGTGCGTGATTACAGGAGGAATGCTAAGATTAAAAATTTGTCTATTGTGAACGATTTTTAAAAGTACATATGAAATTTTCAGTTAACTGTCAAAGAATGATTTCGTTAGTTCGTGGTTCGTATCGTCATTTTTCCGAACAAATACGTTACTTTTTCTATTTATTATTTTACAGTTAAAAGGTACGAAAATATATACTTTAATCACAATCAATAAAGAAAAAAAATTTTCTCACCAATAGTTGCAATGTATTATTGTTCATTTACGAATTTTCAACTTTAAATTTTATTACGTGTTTTGCACATGTAAGCCTAACAAAAACTCCATTTTGTTCCGAGCTGCCACCGATAGTAATGCTTATTTTATTTGTTCTTTTGCGAGATGCTTCCAAAAGAAAAGGCCTTATGTTAATGAAATTTAGATATAATCTTTTATGCTTATGCGTTGCCAATAAATGTTTGAAATAAAATTCATGTAGTTTTTAACCACAAACGCATACCCCTCATCATATAAAACTGTTTATTGATGTCTACTGATGTTTTAATGCCATTTGTTGACACAAAAATTTATTGGGATATCTTAAATATTTTGATTTTAAATAGTTTTTATTAAAAAATAGGTTGGCAACGCAATATCAAATTTTTATAAACTGACATTAGTTTTGAAAAATAATTGGCAATTCTATATTGTAAATTCTATGCATGAAATATTATTTTGTTGGTAATGTAAAATTAGAATAAATTAATTAAAAATGAGTGGCACTGATAAAAAGGATAAAGATAATGAAGCTGACTGGATGGTAGTGGCCTCAAAATCGAGAATAGGACATTTCTACAAATTCAACAAAAGAACAGGCGAGAGGGTTTGGTGCAGTAGAAGTGGTACCGATATAAAAGCTGAAATACCAGCAACGCCAATAACAAACAGTTAGTTTACATTGCATTGCATAATTAAATAATAATATATAATTAAATATTAATATTTCGCTAATAGGTTCACTTAAAACTCCTGCACAGGATCGTTTAAAACGTTTACAAAATAATTTAAAGAAAAATAAAAATGATGAAAACAAAATTAATGAGAAAGCAAAAGCAGATTTGGAAGAAAGGATCAATGCCAGAAATAGAATATTTGGAAATAACAAGTACAAGGTACCAGCTGCTAAGCGTGATTCGAATCACGATGAGTCAACGGAAGGTGCAACTAAACGAAAAAGAAGTGACAGCATTAAAAGCGAGACCAAAAAGGAAGTGAATACGAATGCGACGAATAATGAGTTATTGGAGTCTTCAAATAAGTCTTCTGCTAAAACAAGTGATTCAGCTGAAGTAACACCAAAGAAAAGAAAACGCAAGGCCACAAAAACTAACTCAAACGATTTCATTCCATCGACAAAAATAAAAAAACCGGAATCTCAAACAAATTTAGTACCTGCAGAAAGCACGACCGCTGCCACAATTTGTGCAACTATCTGTAATAAAGCGATGCAACTCTTTAAGAAACAATTTTTCTCAAGCAAAACTAAAGTAGAAAACAAAAAACTAGAAGATAAAAAAGACAAAAAAACAAATGTGCCAAAGGAACCAAAGAAAAGCAGTGATATTGTTATTACCAAAGCTTGTGAATCATTGGTTACTACTTCACACACTAAAGATGTGTCTAAAACAAAATGTACTACAGCCACTGGAAGAGGTAAGCAGTATTTTGATGGTATATGCATATATTTGTTTTATAATTTCTGTTTTTAGCTAACAAGAGTTTACCGCTTTTTAATTCCAAACCCAGTGTATCAATGTTATCAACATCATATACTCAAGGTGTACCTAAATTAACTGGTGGTCCATTGACTGGAAAAGGTAAGCAGCATTTTATAACTGCATGCATACATAACATATCTAATTTTGCATTGCATCTAGACAATTTCAAATCTTGTGAATCATTGTTAGCTAGCTCAACCCTTAAAGTTGTGCCTAAATTACCTAGCTCTGCATTCACTGGAAAAGGTAAGCTGGACCTTAATTCTATATTAATATATAAATATAATATCGTATTGTTTTCAGCGAATGAACGCTTACAACGACTGCGACAGTCACTCAAACAGCAGGTAAACTTAATGGAATCCAATCTCAATGCAGACGGTGGTTCAATAAATAGGAGTTTTATTGATGCAGAGAGTCAAAATGAAAATTCTAACCCACAAGCTGTCATCAAGGAAAATGGTATAAGAAATTTGAAATAATATAAAATACGATTTAATATTAAATGTATTTACAGAAATTGAGCAAATGGATTGGGAACCCACAGAGTATACTATTGGAGAAGTATGTTACTTCGATTTTTTTTTTCAAACTGAGGCTATTATTCATATTTTATTTATTTCAAATTTTAGTACAATATAAACATTAATGTCACTTGTCCGCAACCAAAGCCAGAGCCAACTATAGAATCTACAGAAAAACAACGTATAAATGAAGACATACGTGACACCTATGAAATTTTAAATAAAAATCTTCTGCGTTTATCTGCCGAAAATAATTTTACAAATAAAACTATTACAAAAACTTGGCATAAAGACCATTTTTATTTTGTCGTGGATACAAATGTATTAATGAGACAACTTACATTTACTGATGATCTTACAAAAATGAAGTTATGCAGTAAGTACAAGTGTTATTCATACAATATTAATTTAATTTTTAATATTTTATTTATTTTTTTGTCAGATACTGAAGGCACTATTGTGTTTATACCGTATATAGTATTACAGGAGCTTGATAAACTAAAACAATTCGGTCAAACAGAGTCAGCGAAGACAATGGCATCGCGTGCTATACGCCACTTGAATGTTAAACTTGAAGCGAAAAATAAACATTTACAAGGTAAGGTATATGTTTTAATACAATGTGTAATGTTAAATATGTACTAATTAACTTCTCTCCATTTCCTTTAGCACAAAGTGTCGTCGAAGATCGCAGGCATTTAATTGATATAACTTCAGCAGATGATAGGATCATAAACTGTTGTTTACAGATTAAAGAAAATGTTGAAAATGTTATACTTTTGACTGAGGATGTTAATCTACAGAACAAAGCTCTGTGTAGCGATCTGGTAGCAACAACAAAATCAAACTTGCTTTCGTCACATCCCGAAACAAACACCAAATCATGACGAATTCAAAACTTTTTGTTTAATTTGTTTAAATTTAAGTGAAAATATATTATATAAATATATTTTTATGTATGCTTTTATGTTGAGTTTTGTCCAACAAACATGAATTATATATTTTTCTAAGTGGATTTATATAAAAATTTATTAATTAGAAATTCGATCAAATATCATTTATTAATGAAATATTTAATTAATGCATATAAGGACTAAAAGTATGTATAAAAACAAGTATTCGTATTCAAAACTAGCGGTAAATCAAAATCGATTTATATCTAATCTTTACAAGCAGTTTATCACGTTTATTTTGTAATAATTTTATTATTACTATAATAGTTTTAATAATGTAATAAATATTTTTTTATTATAACTTTATAATTATAATTACTTAATTATTGTAATAATTTTATCAATAAGTAAATTTCGATATTAAGATATTTTCTATGTAAATAACAAATTGAAAACGGTCTTAGCATATTTAGAATTTACGTTTTGAAGTTTATTGAATAAAATGTATTTAAGTTGAGCATCTTATTTGTATTTAATTGACATAACATCGCAACTCATATTTTTCGGCATCACTGATTTGACATCAAATTTTAGTAGAGCCAGTTAATTTGAAAAATCCGAATATAGTTTCTTCTCAAGATATTGACGCTTAAAGTTGTAAACTTTTTAATAATAACTTCCCCATCCCAAGAAAGGCAAAGAACAGTAGCAGTACTCAGCTTTTTTATACGGCACGTTGCTTCTAATTCTCTCTTCCACAAACCTTCCTAAGAGGTGGTTTTAATGGGTTCAATTCTCACACTGTGACTGTCGTTGCTTTCCACTAAATGCGAAAAAAAATGATTTTCCCTTTCAAAAAAAGTTAGACTACTTTTTTCCATTCCATTTTCATAAATACTTCCTACCTTTCTCTATTCATGATTCTTTCAATTTACAACGTTGAACTACTTTTTTCCATTCCATATTCCATTTTCATAACCACTTTCTACGTTTCTATATCACTTTTCATCATTAATCTACATTTTCCATCACCCTTTAAACTTCCTACCATTCAGCTCCTCTTTCTTGTATGAATTACTACTTCCCAACATTCATTCATACAACCTTACTACCACACATTATGAATTTTAATGTTCACTCTCACCCTATATCCACACTGTCGACTACTACATGCCATTCAGGATCATTTTTAACTATCACCTTTTTTCTTCCATATTTCAGCACTCTTATCAAACGTTCTACACTTTAAAGCCACTTCTCACCATTCTACCTCCTTTCCTACATAACATTGTCTCTCATATATATTCTCTTTCCGTTTCATCCCATTCACTTGTGTCTTCTACCATTTATCCTTAGTTTTCTATAATTTATTACTGTTTCTATTGCCATTTCCTATCTAACATTATCCTCGTTATTGCCCCTCGTTATTCCGGTTTTTTACTATTCATTATCAGTGGTAAACTTCACATCATCCACAGATCTCTTCGTATAACTTGACGTATCACTATTTTTCTACCATTTTCCTTCCTTCATTCATTTATTTCTGTTTCGTATAGTTCATTACCAGTTCCCACTATTCAACCTTGCCTAATGCATCGTCAGTATTGTGGTATCCCCGGTTTGCACGGACTAAAAACATAACCCCTCATATACCAGACCATTTCTATCATGGAACTCAGGCTATACAGGCTCCAGGCTACATTGGCTCCAGGCTATATGGGATATATAGCCTCCAGGCTATATAGGCTTCAGGCTATATAGGCTTCAGGCTATATAGGCTTCAGGCTATATAGGCTTCAGGCTATATAGGCTTCAGGCTATATAGGCTTCAGGCTATATAGGCTTCAGGCTATATAGGCTCCAGGCTATATAGGCTCCAGACTATATAGGCTCCAGACTATATAGGCTCCAGGCTATATAGGATCCAGGCTATATGGGCTCTAGGCTATATGGGCTCCAAGCTATATAGGCTTCAAGCTATATAGACTCCAGGCTATATAGGCTCCAGACTATATAGGCTCCAGGCTATATAGGCTCCAAGCTATATAGGCTCCAGGCTATATAGACTCCAGGCTATATAGACTCCAGGCTATATAGGCTCCAGGCTATATAGGCTCCAGGCTATATAGGCTCCAGGCTATATAGGCTCAGGCTATATAGGCTCCAGGCTATATAGGCTCCAGGCTATATAGGCTCCAGGCTATATAGGCTCCAGGCTATATAGGCTCCAGGCTATATAGGCTCCAGGGTATATAGGCTCCAGGCTCATTACAGGCTCCAATAACATTTTATCTATAGCTTGAGTTTTGCAAGAAAGGAGAACTTAAATCTGACATTCCCAGCAAAGATTTTCTTCACTTTAATTGCTTCCTCTTATTTGTTCAAATTCATCAAAATTTCATGGAATTTTTCCATTAAAGCTTTATTTAGAGATTAACTGGAGATCATTTTCTTATCAATTGAAAATCTTTGTAAACAAAAAAAAATTGAAACAGCTTCTTCCGTTTTCAGATTTTTGGTAGAGATAAAAACTTACTGTACACAGACAGCAACTTTATCAGCTTCCCTCCTGTGTTCTTGGTTAGCGATGCTGTGATGCCGCGATGCCATACCAATGGAATCTTGTATAAATATTTAATTAAAAAATGAAACCAAAGAGTAAAGAATTTAACTTTTACATTATAACTTTATTCATTTTTTACATATTTGTTTTTGTTTTTTTTTTTGTTTTGTTTTTTTGTTATTATTTTGCAATAAGTTTGGCGAAGAGTTTTGTCTGAGGTTCAATTGTTTTTATTACCGCAAAGTGTGTTACAGAGTTAAGAGGTGTAGTAACTAAGGCGCTCCAAGCAAGTCGCTTGCGTAAAAGTAAGTTTCCTTTTCTTAATTCTAAGCAATATATTTTTTTTTCTTCTTTTGTGTATGTAAAATGAAAAGTTAAAATTAAACAAACAATAAATCCATAATATAAAATGTTAAAAATAAATTACACAAAATATTAAATCCAGTAATAAGAAGTTTAAGCGAAAGACGGTGATAAATTGTCGCAATCCAAAATGTTAATATTTTGGCCAATATTTAATGTTTATGTAGGAATAACTAATTGAACTGGCAGGAGTTCAATATATGAGTGAGTGTATCCTAGTACTACGAACCGTAAATTAAAATGCGAAGCCACAGCTTTCAAAAGGTAAATGAGCAACTGTTGTAATTATGTAGTAGCGCTACTAACTACCGGAAACAGTATTCTCTTCCTTTACTTGTACTTCGTCCTTTTCGATTTTAACTTCGCTCGTATCGATCACATCCTTTTCGATCTTGATCTCATCAATCAATTTGAACGACGCCTCTGCACGCTGCAATTGATCGGACAGCGATTTCTGTTCAGCAGTCAAGCGAAAGACTTCCTGTTGTTCTTCGGCCGTGATTGGCTTTTGCTTAGCCTTATTTTGTACGGTACGCTTGTAGGTTTCTAAGATCTCCTGATCGACTAAATCTAATTTGCGTTTAATTTCTAAACGTTTTATTTCATTGGCTGAAGCCGTTTTCAATTGTCTTAAAGCTTTGCTATTATAATCCGATATAAGAGTTAACTCATTAGTGATACGTTTAATTTCATTCAGCACTTCATCATCGTTATTATCGTCAGGATCAAGTAGACCTTGTTTAATAAGCTCCTCTTTCAGACGATTCTCGATATCGATGCAATTGCGCATCATGGACAGTGAACGAAAGTTTAGTTGAGCGGACGAATGTGTATTTTCGCTGCTGCTATTACTCGAGTCTGCGGCATTTGTTACCAGTTCTGGTGGTAGTGTTATTAGCTGCTCTTCCATAAATGCTGAAATAAATCTTTGCGTAAGGGAACCAGTTACACATTCATCAACTAAAGCATCTCCCTTCTTCAACATGACATTGGCAACAGTATTTTGTTGCTTAAGCCGATTATAATTTGGATTTGATGCTTGTTGTAAGTCTTTTATATCATCTTCTGCCCATGTTTTCGAATAATGTGGACCCAATTCTGGTATGGCTGGTACTAATGGCTCTGTATATTGTTCCAAAAGATCGTCTATTAAGCGCAAATCTTCATTTGTTATAGGCATACAATATGGTTCTACAGACAACCAAAATTTATTTGGTGTATCATTTTTAGGCAGTGTCACTTTTGGCGCATGATGCTCGCCACTGCGCGCTTGGCCAGCTGGCACAGTTAAAGTATTTTGCACAACCGTTGGCGTGGAATCTGTACTATCGTCCGTATGCTGTTGTGGATTAGGACTTTTCTTAGCGTTTTTTATATGTTTTACGGAACTTTTCGGTTTACGTGTTAATTGTGTACTCGTGTCAGTATCACGCTTTCGTTTGCCCGATGAAGATTGCACAGCTGGTGATGAAGGCGCTTTCTCACCACTCGTTGTATGTTTCGATCGACGCTCATTGCGTCGTTCATCTTTATCTAAACTTTCATACTCAGCCTTGAGTACACGATATCGTAATGCAACATTTGACAATAAAGTTTCTAACTCAGCTTGTATTTTGTCTAAATCTTCAGCAGACAGATAGTCTTCACTTGAACGTTGAAGAACGTTATAGTAGGTTGGTAGTTGCTTGGCATTGTCCTTGCTTTTGATTAGTGGTATGCTGCCGTTGTTGACAGCATCTACGTACAGTACAAAATCTTTGTTAAAATCTTTCGTGTAATTATTGGAAATTGTGTTACCTGCGTTATTACTTGAGGAATATGATTTGGCATTTTTTGAAGCCATTTTATTTAGTATTAATAATTTATTTTATTATTAATTTATTTTGTTTACAATAATTAATATGGCAGCAAATATTTTTTCTGGAAATGTCAAAAATTAGCATTGCCAACTTCATTAATAACGCAAAGCGATATGGCATACCAATGCGTAAATGAATTTACACTTCGCTTGTGCGAACGAATAAATAATGCGCATTGGTTGTGAATGCTTATATATGCTGTGGAATTATAACATTTATTGCATAATCTTATATTTACATATAATGAAAATGTGGAAATCTGTATACGTATATATTTTTTCATTATTTTCAATAAACGTTTATAATCAATTGCAAACAATAAATTTAAGTTAATTAATATGTTGCTGTGACTACGGGGATCATAAAATATGAAGTTTATATTGTTGGGTGTTTTGTTAAATAAATTATTTATGTAAACACATATTTTTTTAATAATAATAATATTATTATTTCATTATCACGCTTTTTTATATGTTAGTATTTAAGAAATCATGTGGGGTATGTTATGATTGCAGTCACGTCACCGCAATTGTTGCTTTCAATGCAAAATGAAAATTTGACACTGACAGCTCACTACATTTAGCAGTAAAAGCAACAACAATTATGGTGACGTCACTGCAATCATAACAATTATTAAAGTGTAAACACTTAAATTTATTTTTTTTGGTTTATTTTCTACCTTTATTCATGTATAAATAAAATATTTAATTTTACCGGACTTTGAGTTGTTTATTTAACGTATTGAAAATGAAATCACATTAATTTTATTACATGAATCGTACATTTTTTTTATTTTTATTTTTAACAATTTTTTATAAATATTTCGACTTTCCTCGTAGATCGTGTGTATACAATCTAGAATATATTGATATATTAATAAAATTGTAGAAAGTGAAAATAAATTGTATGGTATTTTTAATTAATTTATACATTTATTAAATAATGTTTAACTTATGTGTATAAAGTAAATATTAATAACAAATGCAAATCACAATTTCCAATTTAATTTCAAATTGTTTTATAAACAATTTTTATTAATAACATTAGTTCTATTAATTTAATTTATATTCAATATTTATTATGTTGTCAGTAATTCAACTGAGATCAATAATCGTATCAATTATTTTATTATTATTTAGCTTTCATAAATAAACAATGAACATATTTATTATATATAATAAATTTTTGACAAACACTTCGGGCAACTAAATGTCAAAAGTGAAAATCGTTTGAGAAAACTAATTGAGAAAGTTGAGAATTGAGAATGAGCCACAGGTATAAAAAAACTTGCAACAAAAAGGTTAAACGCAGTCTTAACACAGATACTATCATCATCACCTACAGTTAATAATTCTCGCATAATATTTTTAACAGTTATTAAATTATATTACAATTATTAATATTTTCAAATAAAATTATGTTAGTCTATTAGAAAATATTTCAAAAATAATAATATATTATTTCACAAACATACCTTTTTGATGTAATTGTTTTCTCAACTTAATTAAAAAAAGTAGTTTTTAGTTAAGGCAACCCTGTTTTGTCTTCTCAGCTGATTTTGTGTTTAGTAGCCGTCGTACTTTTGTTGTGTTCGTTGCGTTCGCGTTTGTTGTTATTTCTTTTTTTTTTTATTGAAGACGTTTTATAATTTAATACTGTAAAACTTGTTAGTGTAAAAATATTTGATAAGGAAACTGAGTGTACTTAATTTACAACATGAAATAAAAATATACCTACGTAATTGCGACAACCTTAAATTAAAATTTATAAATGATTTTTCACAAATATAAAATAAAATAATAAATGTTATATATTAAACAAAACAATATTTGCGATATAAACAAGTTTCTTAGCTGTGCTAAAAGCAGCAACAGCAGCAGTAATTGGTAAATAAAATATTTTCTGTTTCACAGAGTTTTGTCAATATAAAAATTAATCTTAATCAACGCAGAACAACAATAACAACACAAAATAAAACAATAAAATAATTTAATTAATAAATAAGCAACAATTTGCAATATAATTACATAAAAACTTTATTCAATTATTGTTCTTAATTTCATACATAAACGTTTTTTTTTTCTAATATAAAACTCTAATATGAAACTCGTGACTTTTCTTGTAGTTTAATTAATTAATTGTTCTCATATGTGTAATTTAAAGAGACACAAAAATTAATTAATTGTAGTTCATTAAATGTTCTGATAGCGAACATCAGCGCTGTGAACATTTTCACAGAATCATGTTACATCAGCAATGCACACACTCCGCTTCCCCTTTGATTGCATTCGCTGCACTAAGTCTTCTTCTTCACGTGTGCAATTAATTCGCCTTTGCTCTTTTGTGCTTTTGTTTTGATGAAATTTATTGGAGAGTTCTTTTTTGCCGCTACAATATCGCCAGAACCCTTCTTATGATCGCTAAGAAAAAAATAATCATATTTTATTGTTTTACAGTTGGAAATGAAAAAGAAAAACAATATCTTAATACCGAACATGTGATAAGTCAACTTATTTTACTGCGAATTTGTAGTCATAAATTATTTAAACTTTCACACAAACGTGAATCACTTCAATGTCCGGCGGCGCCTAAGTAACTTCAGTACAGAAACTCTTCAATGAGTTTTAATTATAAACAAAATTTGTGATTCCCGCCTTTAATGTGTGAAACAAAAAGTTGCAGGTATTGGTTCTATATATGTATGTTCGATATGGGTCAGGGAGTTCATTAGAATAAAATCAATAATTTTCGGTATTATTTACGTGGAGTTTTTTTTTTAAACTCTTATTTATTTTTATATATAAAGAAATATTTTATATACTACTTTATATATTTGTTTTTATGCATTAATTTGTTTAAACAATTTATTTACACATCTATAAAAAAAATTATACTTAATTTAAAGTATGAACATAATGCGAGGGTTTTCATACTGAAACTGATCTTGAAATTAGGGTCTTTGATCGAAAAAATTTTTATTACTTTTAAGGCACAGGCAGATTGCTCCTAAGGGGAGCTCTTAAGCTGCAAGAGTGAAAAAGAAAACGAGATATGTGAATTTGAATGGATGAAACTGGAGTAAT